TCTATCTGTAGAGTTATATATACTGTTACCTATCTATCTGTAGAGTTATATATACTGTTACCTATTTATCTAGTTATCTATTCTGTTACCTATCTATCTGTAGAGTTATATATACTGTTACCTATTTATCTATAGTTATCTATACTGTTACCTATCTAGCTGTAGAGTTATATATACTGTTACCTATCTATCTGTAGAGTTATATATACTGTTACCTATTTATCTAGTTATCTATTCTGTTACCTATCTATCTGTAGAGTTATATATACTGTTACCTATCTATCTGTAGAGTTATATATACTGTTACCTATCTATCTGTAGAGTTATATATACTGTTACCTATTTATCTAGTTATCTATTCTGTTACCTATCTATCTGTAGAGTTATATATACTGTTACCTATTTATCTAGTTATCTATTCTGTTACCTATCTATCTGTAGAGTTATATATACTGTTACCTATTTATCTATATGCCCTGCGATGGACTGGCGACCTGTCCAGGGTGTATCCTGCCTTCCGCCCAATGACAGCTGGGATAGGCTCCAGCACCCCACCGCGACCCAGAAGGATAAGCGGTTTAGATGATGTATGTATGTATGTATGTATGTATTTATCTATAGTTATCTATACTGTTACCTATCTATCTGTAGAGTTATATATACTGTTACCTATCTATCTATAGTTATCTATACTGTTACCTATTTATTTATAGTTATCTATATTGTTACCTATTTATCTATAGTTATCTATACTGTTACATATCTATCTGTAGAGTTATATATACTGTTACCTATTTATCTATAGTTATCTATACTGTTACCTATCTATCTGTAGAGTTTATATACTGTACTATTTTCTAGTTATCTATACTGTTACCTATCTATCTGTAGAGTTATATATACTGTTACCTATTTATCTAGTTATCTATTCTGTTACCTATCTATCTGTAGAGTTATATATACTGTTACCTATTTATCTAGTTATCTATCTGTACCTATCATCGTAGAGTATTATACGTACCTAGTTACTATCGTTACTCTACGTACCTATCTATCTGTAAGTTCTATATACTGTTACCTTTATCTATAGTTATCTATACTGTTACCTATCTATCTGTAGAGTTATATACTGTTACCTATTATCTATAGTTATCTATACTGTTACCTATTTATCTATAGTTATCTATTCTGTTACCTATCTATCTGTAGAGTTATATATACTGTTACCTATTTATCTATAGTTATCTATACTGTTACCTATCTATCTGTAGAGTTATATATACTGTTACCTATTTATCTATAGTTATCTATACTGTTACCTATTTATCTATAGTTATCTATTCTGTTACCTATCTATCTGTAGAGTTATATATACTGTTACCTATTTATCTATAGTTATCTATACTGTTACCTATGTATCTACGGAGTTATCTATACTGTTATTTATCTATAGAGTTATCTATACTGTATTAACCCACTGTTAATCCTGTTAGCATTTCTGTCCAAACTTTCAGTTTAACGCACAAGACTCTTTCACTGAACTCAAATCAATAAATAAACACGTAATAGTGAATCAATCACTCAGTCAGTCCCGCTGTGTTCATAAAACTTGCAAATGTTTCCCCGTTAACATCTGCAACCCCTCCAGATGTGTAATCTGTAACAGACTAGGTAATAATGGGTGATGATGCTCCACTGGAGCTCCTGCCTTCTACTGAGAGAGTCCTGGTGTGATCAGTGACATGAGTGCCTGATTAAAGGGTCTGTTAGCTGGTGAGGAGTGAAGACTAAGCTGCTGCAGATCGAGCGCATCACTGACGCAGACGGAGAGAACGTACTGGAGCACAGCGCTGATTCAGTGCAGCTCTGTGTGTTCAGCACTTCAGCTCAGAGCACACACTGAGAAAAGCTCCATTCAGATACATATTTCATATTTCTGTTTAAGATAATATTTATATTCATATTTAAGGTAAAACATGATTGATGTGATTGTATTGAGGTGTAAATGATGTGCAGACTAGAATCACCTTTATGAGGAATAACTGTAGAAAACAGAGAGAAACCACAGATTTCATATATATATATATATATATATGATATGATATAAATGATATAATGTGTAATTCCAGGTGCTGTTGGACTGTCTTATGGTGATCCACTCTCGAAAATAAAGGATGTACAGTTCTAGGAAAAGAAACCTTTAAATGTTATAGAACCCTAACATTAGTTCTTCACACTCAGACTTCTTATTTACAAAAAAGTTCTCTAAAGAACCATCCACTAAAGAGTTCTTTATGGAACCAGAAATGGTTCTTCTATGGCACCATTACTTTTGGGCGACTATTTAAAAGAATATATAGTACTTGTGTCACTCTTAGCAAAAACTGTTCTACTTAGTACCATAATAGGGTTGACTTGTAACAATAGCGGAACCCTTTTTTGTGCTAAACAGGACCATTTTTTCCAAAAGGTTCCATTTACAGAACCATTTAAAAGTTCAAATGTTTTGTCAATCTTAAAATAAAGGTGCCAGAAAGGGTTGCCATAGAAGAACCACTTCTGGTTCCTTAAAGAACCTTTCAGTGGTTAACCATTTCTGTGAATGAGATGTGTCAGTGTGTAGAAAGTTTAAAAGCACCTCCACATAATGTCAAGGTAGGAAGAACCCTTAAACTGGTATAAACTCTTGCATTATAGGTTCTTCAAATCTTGAGAGGGTTCTTCACACTCACAAATATCTTTCCAAACACGGTTCTATGGAGAAACAAAAGTGGTTCTTGTGTGACACAGCTAAAAGAACCCATTTGCAGTATCTTTTCTAAGAGTGTTGAGTTGCCATACACACTTAAAAAAGACGGATCTTCAAGGGTTCTAAGGGTTCAAAGGTTCTATGCAGAATGGTTCTATGCAGGACTATGAACACAATGAAATTCAGTGCATGACTTTTTTCCAGTGCAGAGTTTCTCACTGTCGCACCAAACAGAGCCGACTGACGCTCTGCTCGAGCTCAACAGCACTCAGCAGCATCTGCACCCGCGCAGCGCAGCGCAGCACAGCCATGCAGCACGAGCTTCAGCGTCTTTCCAAAGCCTGCGTGAATGAGACTCACGCCACCGGCGCATCTTCTGCGCGCTCTGCTGACGGATCTCCGTGACGGAGGAGAGTTTCAAACACGTCTGCTTTCAACAAGTCCACCTCCCGACTCCAGCACCTCTAACCCCCCTCACACTGACGGAGCTGAGCTCAAACGCTGCTGCGCTGTTCTGCGCTGTTCTGCTCTGTTCTGCTCTGTTCTGCTGGGTTATATAAGTTTCCTGAAGCACGACTGCAGCAGGTACCGCCAGCGCCATTCACAAAATCTCTCAGCAGCACCACACTCAGCAGACGAGAACGGGTTCCTTTATCATCAGGGGTGGAAAACAGAGTTTAACAGCTGGAATGAAAACAAACACTAACGTTCTGCCATGAAGCTCCTCCAATCACGTTCCAAACACTACACAAGACTGTTCTTCAGTAAAGGCAGTGGTTCTGTTTAGCATTATGAGTTCCAGAATCATCTGCATCCTTATGTGGCTCTTTGCTTCGTGAAGTGGTTTCAGATTGATGGAGAATATAAGAATGGTTCTACATAGCACCAAAAAGGGTTCAGCTATTGTTACTGTGTCAAACGTGTAACCCTTTTTGTGGTGCTATCTAGAACCATCTGTATGCTTAAATGGTTCTTTGCTTGGTGAAGTGGTTCTTCAGATTGATGAAGAATGTAAGAATAGTTCTACATAGCACCGAAAAGGGTTCAGCTATTGTTACTATGTCAAACATAACCCTTTTTGTGCTATCTAGAACCATCTGTATGCTTAAATGGTTCTTTGCTCTGTGAAGTGGTTCTTCAGATTGATGGAGAATTTAAGAACGGTTCTACGTAGCACCAAAAAAAGGTTTAGCTACTGCCACTGTGTCAAACATGTAACCCTATTTGGTGCTATCTAGAACCATCTGCATGCTTAAATGGTCCTTTGTATGGTGAAATGGTTATTCAAAACTGACAGAGAATGTAAGAATGGTTCTACATAGCCCCAAAAAGAGGTTCAGCTATCGTTACTATGTCAAAGAAGCAAACTTTATGGTGCTATCTAGAACCAAATGCATGATTAAATAAGTTCTTTGCTTGGAGAAGTGGTTCTTCAGATTGATGAAGAATGTAAGAATGGTTCTCTATAGCACCAAAAAGGGTTCAGCTATTGTTACTGTGTCAAACATGTAATCCTTTTTGGTGCTATCTAGAACCATCTGCATGCTTAAATGGTTCTTTAGATTGATGGACAATGTAAGAATGGTTCTCTATAGCACCAAAAACTATTGCTACTAGGTCAAACATGTAACCCTTTGGGTGCTATCTAGAACCATCTGCATGCTTAAATGGTCCTCTGCATGGTAAAATGTTTATTCAGATTGATGGAGAATGTAGAACCATCTGCATGCTTAAATGGTTCTTTAGATTGATGGACAATGTAAGAATGGTTCTACATAGCACCAAAAAGAGTTCAGCTATTGTTACTGTGTCAAACGTGTAACGCTTTTTGGTGCTATCTAGAACCATTTTCTAAAAAAGCTCCTATTTACCACCATACACAACACATTCTCCATGAATCTGAAGAATCATGCAGCATGCAAAGACCCATTTAAGCATGCAAATGGTCCTAGAACTCATGATTCTAAATAGAACCACTGCCTTTACTAAAGAACCCTCTTTTTTAACGGTGTGGTTTCAGATCTAAACTTATAGAAGCTGGTTTTAGACACAGCGGCTCAAAGAAAACCGGCAGTTTTGCAGAAGAGACAGTTTCCCGTTTGGATTCAGCTTTAAAGTTTGCAAAGTGCGCAGGCGCCGCATCTCCAGCGCTGAAACACCTTTAAACCCGATCAACTCAGAGAGACGGTAACGCCGGAGATTCGGAGGCTTTGTGTCCGAACTACCGCATCCTCCAGTTGGGCAAACTTACTTCTGCGGTCGCTGAGCGGTCTGTGGAGCTTCTGCTGTCCCCCAAAGTCCTCCAGGGCTCCGCGCGGACGGCTGGGTGCTCAGCTCGGCTCTGCTGGAGTTCGGGCGGTAAGTCTCGGTGCAGATGCGCTGCCTAATCCCGCTGTTGCTCGCCCATCTGTACTGAGCGCGGAGAAACAGACGCTCCAGCTACTTTTTTAGCCACGCGAGGAGTCCGCGAGGCTGCGCACCAGCACGCGCTCGTGTTTACAAAGCCCCGCCCCTAAAGGATCAGACTGCGTTCCGATTGGCGAACGCGAGTTCAGCGTTCTGCATACCGGCGCACTGGTTAATTCACACTGTTACCAGTCTTTTAGAACGTAAAGGACAACTCCACCGATTTTTCAAAATTTAAGAACGAATTCAGTGGTTGAGATGGAGTCAGTTCAGAGTGGTTTGATGTAAAAAGGTGCAAGAGATTTTGCTGATTATTTACTATTATAGCCGTTTTGTTTACTACTAAAACCACCTGGGAACCTCCACTGTCTTCTGGGCTTTTATGTGTAATGATGATTGTGGTAAATCTGAAAATATACATTGTCTTTGGGGACTATTTTGTCTAACAATTTCTCTCCGCTCATTTTTTGTCTTGCTGTTTTTCTTATAATAATAATAATAATAATAATAATAATAATAATAATAACTTTATTTACACAGACCCTTTCATACATAACAATGCAGCTCATAGTGCTTCACAATGAAATCAAATAAAATATCAAAATTATGTGTGTAAAACAGCAAAAATAAAAAGAAAAACTACTGAAAGAAGTGCTTGTTTGATAAAAATTGTAATAAAGAAAGAAAGAAAGAAAGAAAGAAAGAAAACAGAATAAAATGAACATAGAATGAGAATGAAAAATAAGAACAATAAAATGAATAAAATGAGGTGTGAATTTGAATAAAAGAAGGCTAAGCTAAATAAACACAGCTTTAAAGCTGGTCACACAGGATGCCTGACGAATGTTCTTTGGTAGTTTCCACACAGAGCGCTGCTTCTCCAGCCTTACTGTGCTTCAATAAATCAGCACTTCACGATCTCAAAGCACGATGTGGAACATGTTCTCTCAGGCATTCCGAGATGTAGGTGCTAATCCATTAATAGATTCATAACCCAGTAAAAGAAGACAGGCAGCCGGTCTAACTGCGCCTCCTGTTCTGTCTTCCCAGTTATCAGCGGCATCCCATGATCCAGTCTGTGTGTTCTACTCGTCACCACAGGTTCCACTCCGCTCCACATCTCTAAGCTGCACTACTCACAGTGACATTTGCTTGTTTGGTTTCCCACCTGATTATTTCTGACTGTTTGGCCTTCTGACCCCACAAACGAACACACACACACACACCCCACAAACGAACACACACACACACACACCCCCCACAAACGAACACACACACACACACACCCCACAAACGAACACACACACACCCCACAAACGAACACACACACACACACTCACCCCACAAACACACACACACACACCCCGCAAACGAACACACACACACACACACACACACACACACCCCACAAACGAACACACACACACACACACCACACACACAACGACACACCACACACACACCCCACAAACGACACACACACCACACACACAACACACACACACCCCACAAACGAACACACACACACACACACCCCACAAGCGAACACACACACACACACACACCCCACAAACGAACACACACACACACACACACACACACACACACACACCCCACAAACGAACACACACACACACCCCACAAACGAACACACACACACACACACACCCCACAAACGAACACACACACACACACACACACACACACACACACACACACCCCACAAACGAACACACACACACACACACACACACACACACACACACCCCACAAACGAACACACACACACACACACACACCCCACAAACGAACACACACACACACACACCCCACAAACGAACACACACACACACACACTCTTTTCGTGTATTTTTATAAAGAGCTTAATCTGGGCTGCATTCAGGCTTAATCTGGGCTGCATTCAGGCCTGACAACACATAGCAAAGCGTTGATTTGAATGGAAACGGTGGTGCGTTGATCACACAAATGTTGAAACTACGGCAGCTCAGAAGGCCATTCTTGGCTTATTTTTTAAAGTATTTTCAGACTTTACAATAAAATACTTACGACAAATATCTCATGACGTATTTAACTGTTGCGCAGACTAAGCTACATGTGTAGAGGACTTCTTTAGAATCCGTTGTGTGCACTGCCTTTTCAGTATGGCAGGGTTTATACACACGTAGCACTGCTGATTGGGTAACAAGACAAAAAACACTTCAAAGCCTGTTTCACACTGTTTCCATGAAACCACTCGTTCAACCTGGACACCATAGCAAAACGGTGCACAATGTTTTGAGGTTGAACGTGCCCCGGTTTGGATTTAACTGACATTAAATTTGTGTTTTGGGTTTTTGTCTGTGTTTTGTGAGGGGAGTTAGGTAAACCGTCTGTCTTTTGTCTATTATTTTGTCTGGCTGAGGTTAGTTAGTGTCTCTCTTGGAGCTGGTGTGGGTTTTGCTTGTTGTTTTGGCCTCGGCCAAACCTCAAGACAAACTAGGGTTGGCGTTCGTGTGATACACTTTGGACGTATTCACAAAGCATACATTCACACTGCGCCATTCTTCTACGCCCTGACCCTAAACCGGGTCATAACAGAGATACAAAATTTTAAAATATATATAATTTAGGCCAAACTCTTCTTCAAAACTATCACAAAAGAGTGTCTCAGACATCAGGCAGTGAATTCATAACTATTTCATGTAATAACTTTCTGTGAGGGAGCTTTTAGAGGTGGACGGCTGGTTCCTATCACCACCACTGTGAATAATTCTGACTCTGTAAGTTTCTCTTTCTGTTGTGTGTCTCTTTGCCAAGCTGAATAACTGCCTATCCTGTGAGGTCTGATGCTGTTTCTTCATCTGCTTTGATTAGGTGCCCACTGGACGAGTCTGACCACCATGGAACTTCTGCTGTACAACACTGTGCAAACCTCACCTGCATGAACTGACCCTCCTGACGACACAGCTGCATTATTGTAATAATACACATTGTTACTCCTGCTTTTCCCATTTTCCATATCTTATACTGATGGTCAATCCTTATCCTCTGCTGTTACTGTGCTACTTTGTTTACATCTTAACCGTTTAATTATGGAGAAATTTTGTCAGTCGGTGGAATTCCCCTTAGTTAAGCTCAAACCAGTGGGTGGTGAAATACTATAAATACTAAAAATATATATAATTGTTCTATGTTAAGTAATATTTTAAAGATATTGACTTTACTCATGTATTAATTTCAAAAGCTATGAGGTTTTTCTCAGTGAAGTTCTCACACATTTTAATGGATTTTTTAATACCAAATTCATATTAATGTAAAATGAAACTGCCCACGACTGTGCTGATTCATCTTCGCGCACGACTTGGACTGTCTGCCCATTGCATCACACACCACCAAATAAAGGAAACATCCAATTTATATGGTAAAACATTTACTTTTTACCTTTATATACATAAGTATGTTTAAATGTAGGCACCTTTTGTGGAAGCGTGTATGTTCATACTTCATTTATATTGATGGAAATGATTTGTATGATGGAAAAATGCATGATTTACTTTAAGTTTATTTTCAGTGTTGTAGGTGAGCGAGTACATCAGCACTTATAGAAGTGTTTTTATTGTGTTTGAATGCTGATTATTACTGCGTCAGTTGGACAGGATTAGGATTGTTTGATATGAAGAAAGCTGCAGTTGACCGTTTTATCTCGGGCATTGCCCTCTTTGTGGAGAGGTGTAAATAGTTTTTCACAGCAAGGGGTTCTCACTCCTCATTGCTCGCTAGCAGCTCAACACAGTCACAGCAACTCACACACAGAGAGTCACATGGAAAAACTACTAGATTGCATTTATTAAATATCCTTTACTCTGGTGGAATGACCACTAGGGGGCCTCCAGAAAGTGGCAACACCAACTTTCGATCTAAATGTAAACCTACTACTCTGATTGTACTGAGCAAGTCCTCTGCAGGCTCCATTTTCCTTCTACTGTCCAATCTTCATCCACATGTGCTGGAAGTGGCTTAGGCATGTGATGACGGATCCCTCCAGCCATGAGGAGAACTTCCAATGGCTTGAGGTCTTCATGATGAGGTTCTTCACAGGCACCAGCTTCTCCATCTCTATCTGGAGTGCGTCCACACTGGCTATTACAGCCACTTGTCGCTCTGGGCAACGTTTCTGGTTGCTCAAGGCCATGATTTGCGTGTCTGGCTGGGCGAGTCCAGTTCTGCAGGGGTAAAAGAGGATTTCAGGCATGCAAGAGGGGCTATCTGCCCAGAGCCAGTGTGGAAGCATCCAGAAGCTGGTAGTCCAGCAGCCATGCTCTCTGCTGCATTTATCACAGCTCCAGTTTGGGGTTATGTGATAGACAGCAGCTCTGCTCCTTTAGTTACAGCACTATATTAAACACAGTTGCGAGTCCACTAGATCGCTTTCTGACAGTCTTTGTTGGGCTGTGTTTATGGAAGTTATCTTCTAGCAATCTTTCACATTCGTCTAATATTAGTCATTGGTTTAATGGACTGAGCTGTACTCTGTTTAACCACAGTGTCTCTGTTTATTCTCATTTCCTTTAACCCCTTAAATGGCCAGTGCCCATCAGTGGGCCCAAAGTTTATTACACACTTCTACACACTTCTTAAGTGGCCAGCGTAGGGTTCTCCTTTAGCAGCTGTAGCCAGTCAGCAGCCTGTCCATGGTGTCCACCCTCACACACACACAGACACACACACACACTAACAGCAGGCCATGTAAGAGGAGAACAGAGTGAAGGACACAGCACCTCCACACTTTCACCCCCCGCAGGTTCAGCCCAACACCACATGTGTAATATAAATGTGTGGGGGGTGAACAGAGTGAAGACACTGAAAATGGGTTATTTTATATGTCCTTCACAGAAAATGAGCAAAGACCAAAAATCTGAGGTTGAAATAATTACAAATCGTTTCCCCCAACACCATACAAGGGTTAAAAATGGTTCTTCAAGGTTCCACTCAATGAA